GGGCTGGGCCGGGCCTGGCTGCGGCAGCAGGCAGTGCCACCCTCCCCACCACGGACAAACCTTCCGCTGCAGCAGAGCTCAGACCCAGTCTCATCTCCCTGCGGTCCCCTCCCAGGTGCTGCCCAGTGCGTTGCTGCCTGCTGCACCATCTCTCACTCTGCCCAGCCCTGCCTGCTTCCCTCCGGCTGGACTGGAGCACTGCAGGAGAAAAAAGCATGTCTGCTCACAGCACTGCTCCCTCTCAGGCACAATATTGGGGCTACAACCTCCTAGGACAGCTTTGTAAGCCTGCACGCCCGACTAGCCACCAGGCTGCGCTACCTGTGGTACTGCCCTGCAAGACCCCCCCAGCGCCGGGTGCTCAGCGCCTCACGCGCACTGCCAGCCCGCTGCCGACCCGAACATAAAGCCACTGAAGTCCACCCGCTATGGGACTCCAGGCAGAGGGCACTCCACCAGCCAAGCACGTGTGTGTACAGGTGGAGAGCTGGACTCCGAGGCCAGTGACTCTAGGAAAGCCCGAACCCTACCTACCTGTGCCTGGAATCAAACGGGGCGGGCTGCAGGCACCAACTGCTCCCCCAGAAGAGACAAGCTCCAGGAAGGGAGGGCTCCGGGGACAGCAGGGGTGGAGAAGGAGGCCCCAGGTACAGAAATAAATCGATATATTAGTGTGTACAAAACATGCTGCTTCCTCTGTACAGTGCCCCCACCGGGTGCAGGCTCCCCACAGGGAGTTCACACATATATAAATAAGGCCCAGACAGCTGCAAACAATATTTACAGCCCGCGGGGGGGCTCGCGCCTGCTCTGGGGCCAGCCCCACCAAGACCAGCTGCTATGCCCAGCCCGCGGGATCCTCCACCCCAGCCTGGACTGGCCAGGTTCATTTCAGGTCCACATCAAAGTCCAGCACCAGCAGCTTGGTCTCCTCCGTGCCGTTGCGGCTGCCCACCGCACACACGAGCTTGGTGTTGGAGGCGCGGATGCGCCACACTACGCCCCCGCTGCCCCCGCTCTCCAGTGCAACCAGGTTGCGCACAAACTCGCCCGTCTTGAGGTCCCAGAGCTTGACGGTACCATCATCTGAGCTGGTCACCACAAACTTGGAGCTGAACTGCAGGCAGGTGACGGCACTCTGGTGCTTGCTGGGCCCTGGAAGCAGAGGGTATCTGTTAGTCCTCCTGTGCTCCCACCTCCAGCCCCAGGCTCTCCAGGAGCACCCACCGCTGGCAACATCTGCCCTGCCCCTGCCACATCTGGCAGCTATGAGCAACAGGACCCCTCTCCAACACCCCTCGTGAGGGGAGCTCTTCCATCCTCCGGCACTCACCCTGCAGCGTTTGCAGGCACTGGCCCGTCTTGATGTCCCAGATCTTGACTGTGGAGTCAGCATTGCCAGATACAAGGATGTTGTCACGTAACTCCATGCCACTCGTGAGCGACTGGTGCCCCATCAGGGTGTGTAGGCAGTTCCCACTCTCTACGTCCCACACTCGAATCGACGTGTCCAGAGAGCCACTCACGATGTGTGTCCCATCAAACTGCCCAGAGAGACACAGATCAGCACGGCCCATGAAGGGGAGGAGTGCTCTTTGCAGTCTGGGGCACGGCAGATTAATTGATGTGCTCACGCACCCTTTGGCTAACCAGGGTGCATGTGTGTTTCGCATCATTTTCCCTCCAGGAAACAGACACGGGCTATGTGTGTTCCTGCAGCGCATGCGTGTGTGGGGGACAGGGTCGAGGGGTAGAGTGTCTCACCTGCAGGGAACAGACATGGCCTGTGTGTCCCTGCAGCACCTGCATGGGGTGGGGAGACGGCTTTGGACTTGCCAAAACAGGCATGGCTCGTGTTCCTGCGGCACATGAGCAGAAGCAAAGGGGGAGCCAGGGTCCTACCTGCAAGGAGTAGACGCGGTTCGTGTGTCCCTGCAGCGTGTGCGTGCAGCTTTCGCTCTCGGGGTCCCACACTTTCACTGTGTAGTCATATGCACCGCTCACCACCTTGTGCCCGTCGTACTGCACGCAGCGCACGGCAGCCACGTGCCCCATCAGCACATGCAGACATTGCCCAGTCTCGATGTCCCAGAGGCGTAGAGTGGCGTCCCGTGAGCCACTGACAACCCTGCGGGCAGGGATGCACTTGGAGCCCGACCGTGTCGACGCTGGACCTCACCCAGCTGAGATCACCCCGGACACACGAGCTTCCCCGAGGGGCAGCCCCGGCTTATCCTCCCCAGGGATGCCTCCTCCCACGCAGCATCTTTCCACTACACATCAGCCCATGCCCCGTCCACCTCTGCACTTTCACCAGCCCTATATCCCACGACACAGACTGGCCCAGGCCACAAATGCTTTTACACCTCCACCTGCCCCATTCCAGAGACCAGACCAGGCCCCCAGCACCGTCGCACCCGTACCTGTTCCCGTGCAAGTGCATGCAGCGCACTGTGGACGTGTGCCCATACAGCGTGTGCACGCATTCGCCTGTGTCTGCATTCCACACTTTGAGCGTCCGGTCTGTGGAGCCGCTGATGACAATGCTGTCCCTCATCTGGGAAGACCACACACCCCCTGTGTGGCCAACCAGCGTCTGCACACACTGCAAAGAACAAGATGCGAGACGCTGGTTTGGGAAAGGCTGAACACAGCAAAAAGGAAAAGTGAAGCACAGGACTTCCTCCAGGATCGGTAAGGCTCCTCGGGGCAGCAAGCCACCCTCCCGCACACAGACTCAGGCCCCCACCATGTCCTCTCCATGACAATAACCACTTGCTGTTCTCAACCCAGTTGAGTTTCTTGCCCTTCCTGGATCTCCAGGAGGGTGGTCCACACTTGCTGACTGCCGGTGAAAACGTGTGTGGCCAACTCTTGTTCATTTCTTACTGCACCAACAGACTTGTAGCTTAAGACAGCTCTTCCCACCGCTCCTGCAGCCACAGGATCTACCAAATCCCCTCCCCGGCTACACTTTGCCAGAGACAAGACAAACCCCCCCCAAAGGCCACTATGCCTCCCATGCCTCCACCCGCTCCTGCAGCAACGCCAGGATCAGCACGGCTCTCCACGTGCCAGCGGAGCAGCCCCATGACCTGACTGTGGAGAACAGCTCACCTCGCCGGTGACAGCTGACCACACTTTGAGGGTATTGTCATCTGAGCCACTGACAATCCGGTTGCCACAGAACTGCAGGCAGGTGATGACATGGTCATCGTGTCCCTTCAGCACCTGCATGGAGAACAACACGAGTAAGGAGAGAAGCGAGGGCAGCTCAGAGCCCCGGAGTCTGCAGAACCTTGGGCATCAAAAGCAGCCTTTGAGAACGTCGGGGGAGCCATCAGTGCTGAGGGGCAGAAGAACAGACAGGTCCCTGTAACACCTCCTCTCTGCTCCTCTGCGGGGCAGCAGCTACAGTAGGAGCCGGGGCGGGGGGCAGCATTTAGTGGCTACAGCTGGGGGACAGTGGGCTACTGGGGGACTCCAAAACACGGATGCACCCTTGGGGTTATTAAGGCCACACAAGCTATCAAGCTCAGAGCTGACATCCTGTCCTGGATCAAAAAGCGGTGCCCGGCAGCCACAGCACACGTAGGACCACCAGCTCCATTTTCCACGTGGTGGAAGGCTGTGCACCAGCTGCCACCTCCCCAACATGGCGATGTGCGATGAGGGCAGCAAAGGCGGGCAACGACCGAGCAACATCTGCGGGCAGAGCTCAGGCAGGACCCCGGGGAATGAGGAGGCACGTCAGACAGACCTGGCCAAGCCATGGGCAGCGGCAGCATGAGGGCAAGCAGCACCTCGCTGTGAAAACAAGCCCAGAGCCGCCCTTTGCAGGGAATGCGTTAAACTTCCCCTCAGCCGGGGGAAGGTACAGGGCGGACATCTCTGTGGGCAGACGTCCCTGCGGGCAGTGCCCTGGAGAGCTCTGCTCACAGGGGCTGCAGAGACCAGGGTGTTGGGGGTCTTGGGAAAGGGCTGCCTGGTGCCCATTTGTTGCTGGGGGTGCAGTCCCTGCAGCGACGGCACTGTGTGGAGCGCTGCTGCTCACCTCAGGCGCCGCCGAGGCAGGGGCTTGGAGAAGGGGCTGGGAACAGCGTGGGTCTGGAAAAAGTCTCCAGAGGTGGAGAGCAGCAGGACTGAGACTGTCACCTGGGAGACTGAGAGAAGGGGCGGCTGGGGCTCTGCTCTCCCTGCCTCCTGGACAGGGACGAGGGGCAGGCAGGGACCTTGGCGGGGAGAGACAAAACCAACACCCAAGCGTTCAGGAACATTGCAGCAGGGACAAGGCTTGGCTGAGCCCCAGAAGGGCCATACCATCCCCTGGATGCCATGGTTGGCTACAACCCTGCCACAGGTGCTCAGAGACGGGCTGAGGGGACGGAAACCCCCTTCTCCAGGGAGACCCTTTTTCTGCTGGCAGAACTGCAGCCCAGTATCACCCACGGTGGCAATCCCCAAGATCAGCTGTGCTGCCAGCCAGAGCACACAGGAAAGCTCCAAGCAAGCTGTGCTCTGGATCTGCTCTCTCCAGGCAGGGACCGGAGTTGCAGGAAGCGGGCAGGACCTACAGCTTCAAAGACCTTCAAATTAAAATATTTCCAGGTGAATGCCTCTGGCCTGCGCCTCCTGAAGACAGGCCAGACTTGTGACTCTTTTCCTGAGGCAGTCTGAAAATTCTTAGTGTCATTCTCATCCTATTGGTCATGGACATTTCTCTGCTACTTCCTTCCTGTACCAGCTTCCTACACGTCAAAGCTCTATAGAGCACAGTTCTCAGCAAGGACTCCTGAAAGCACCCACCTTGGGGGCTTTAAGCTCCCCGCTGCGCCAATTCATGTCGATTTTGTGCTGCCGCATGAAGGCAAATTTCCAGGGGCTGTACATGAATCCAGGGCTCAGCAGGCGTCGCTTCCGCAGGTTCAAGGGCTCCTCAATGCCTGCAGGAGGAGAACACAGCGGGATGCCTCACACTGTAACAGCGGTCCAGGCCCTCACCCTACCCGGGGGCTAAGACGGTGCACATCTGTGGGCGCTGGGGGTTACCCCACTGCAGATCCCAGCCACAATGTGCCACGTGCCATATGGAGGAGGGGTCTTTACCTTCTTCCCGGCACTTCTCTCTCCAGAGCAGGTTATCTTCAGCCAAGACCCTCCAGTAGCGACAGGTCTGGGCAGCACGGAGCAGGTCCCGAGGCTCCAGGAACGAGAGGACATAGAGTGCCAGCTGCAGGAGTGGAAGCCGAGTCACAAGGGCACAGTGGTCTCCGTGGCTGGTAACAGGTGCCCAGCACCAGGGCCAGCCCGTCCCTTGCCTCAACTCACCTCCTTGGGCAGCAGGGAAATGAAGTCTCTCTGGAACTGGGGTTCAATGACCTGCATCATGTACTTGATTTGGGAGGGCTCGCAGCGATCGATGAGCTCATCCAGAGCAAGCAGCTTCTCCGGGCCACTCCACCGCTGAGGAGAGGGACGTCAGTCACAGTGTCTGCACACACGGCAGCCCTCACAGGCGCCCCTGTGGCTACGTCCCTACCCCAACCCTGGCAGAGACACCAACCCGCACTGTCAAGACAGGCTGGCCGGACCTCTGGAGCAGGCCAGGGCTCTGCCACCTAGACGCCAAGATAAAGAGGAGCCACAGAGACGGGGCTGGGAGCTCCACAAGTCGGGTAAGATGGAACACGGGTGCTGTGTGACGGCAGACAAAGCAACACCACTCCGGGACGAAGTGGAGCAAGACGGGGGCTAACACCACTTCTGTGCTCCTTTACCTGAGGCAAAAACTTACTAAAAATCTACCGTGGGACCCAACCCCCTGCCTGTGGTGGCTTTCACGCAGACAGGGTCCCCAGGACCCGGCTCTCCTCCTGCCTGCCCATAGGTGCCCTCCAAGGTGAGCCCCCAGCCTACCTGGAAGGTGCGGAGCCAGTCCTGCAGCTCAGGAGGGGGGGCAACTGAGGGGATGCGGCGGCGGCGTGCCTGGCCCGCTTTGGCGTTGCGCAGGTCCCCAAAGGTGGTGGTGGGACTGGGTGTGCATGGACCCAGTGTCCTGGACCACAGCCGGGGAGAGACCAAAGCAAAGGTGAGACATGCCAGTGTTACTCTGGGCCACACCATGCAAACAGTTCTCAGAACAGAGGTGCCCATAAACCACCAGCCATGAGCCTCCCGCCAAGCTAGCCCCCTTCCCCATCACTTCCACCAGGACCACAGCTTCGTATGCAGTCCCCTCAGCCCAGCCTGCTCTACAGAGTGACGGAATCACGGACTGGTTGAGGCTGGAGGCACCTCCGGAGGCCGTCTGGTCCAAGCCCCTGCTCAGGCAGGACCACCCAGATGGCTTTAGTGTCTCTCCAAGGATGGAGACTCCACAACCTCAGCAGGACAGCCAGATGACTGAGGGATGGGACTGGTAGAAGGAGGTCTTCCCACCCCCCATGTCAATTCGTTGCTCAGCACGCAGAGCGCTAATCTTACCTGCTGTACTCGGAGCCCTTGCACAGCTTTTTACCGGGGGAAAGGGCCCGGCCATCCAGGCCGTTCTCTGACTTCCGCTTCATCTGCAAGGAGAAGGTGAGTTAAAGCAGGATGGAGCGGAGCCCTCTGCACACATTGTTGGTCACTGATTTTCTGCCAAAAGCAACAGAGTAGGAGACCCAGCCTGCAAGTCTTCTGAGCCCATGCTCACGCTGGGGACCTGCAGAGGGAAGCTGAAGGCCACCTTGAGCTCTAGAGCTGGCAGAAGAGTTAACTTCTGTGGGAGAAATGGAACTTGGTCCTTCCAAGGGGAGTATCAGACCTGATGGGGAAAAGTAAGCAAAAAGCTGCACAGGGACAAAAACAGTGGCTGAGGAAACCTCTTGGTCCACCTGCTTGGCCCTGCTCTAGGCACAGTTCCACACGGGGCAGGCAGACCCGCAGCCCGAGCAGGGAACTCGGCACGCTGATGCCCTCTGGCAGAGCAGCCCTGCAGCCGGGCCCGAGAGCTCAGCACAGCCCACTACACTCAGCAGCTACAAGGAGAGCTGTGCTGGGATGTGTGGCGGACCTGACACTGACGTGGGTGCATCAAAGGGAATCTACATCCTTCCAGCTCCATACAAGAGGCGCAGGGTTAAGAGGAAAGGTGGGGACAATGGGGTGGCTACCAGACAGCGCTGGCAGCCACCAGACAGTCAGCACAGGGACCACCAGCCCAGGTGGGAAGCTGAGGGCTCCTTCCCTCCAGTAACTGGAGGCACCAGCTGCAGCCCTGTGCTCAGGGCTGGCCAGGGTGTCTCACCACAATGCCCACATCCCACAGAAACCTTCCGGAGGCCTTTGCCTGACCCCCCCAGCAGCCTCCTGCTGCCCCAGTCCAGGCTCTGCACTGCGACGCAGGAACCCCAGCGCAGAGCAGGGTGGCTCCACCGGGGACAGCGTGGCTGGGGACTGCCGGCAGCGCTCGGGCAGACTGGGACGGTGCCTCCTTGCCCCGGCCCTAACCGCCCAGGAGCCCAAC